GCCCAAAACCGACAACAACAACAGCAGCAACAATAGTAACAACAACAACAACAATAGCATTATGCGACAGTGCAAGCCAACTGCCATTCAAAGTCAACCAGCAGCAGGACACAGTATGCAGGAATCCTGGCTGCAGATGGCAACTGGCAACTGTCAGACAGAGACGACAGACCGAGAGAGAGAGAGAGAGAGAGAGAGAAAGACGTGTTTCAATTTTTATGACATTTCAATGCAGTTTATGTCAGCGCAACGAGACAACGGGTAAACGAACTGAGAGATGAGTTCAGCGATTGGAGCAGCGGGCAGTGGGCAGCGGGCAGGGGGCAGGGAGCAGCAGACGAAATACCTCGTTATATTTTTGACAATTCAAATTTTAGCTTCAGGCCAAGCCATGGTATGTGCAACATATTTTCGTTGGACACTTTGCAAGTCAATTGAACAACAATTTTCTACAAAATAATAATACAAGAATTTCTTGTGATACACAATGAAATGAAATGTGTATGAATGCTGTGCGGTATTTGTGGTATTTATAATAAATATATGATGGCCAAGGCTGTGAAGGTTGAAGTACTATAGATAACATCTGTATAGAACAGTATATGTAGATATTGATAAATGGGTTGGCTATATCAAACTATTAAACAATATATGCTTTAAATACGATTATTTTTCAGATAAGATAACTAAAACAGTTTAAGTTCCTTTCAAGTCCTTGCTCCCTTTTAAAGTTGCTTTTTCACTTTCAGGAAGGCTTTGCCTATATTATAGTTGATGCTCTCCTTCCTTCCTTCATTTCGCACCTGTCGAAAACACTCAATTGCTGAATGTTTATTTGAAATGATTTGCCGCACACAATCGCCTTTTGTAATATCATAATTCAGTTGAAGTCTGCACTCAATGGGCTCGTTTTGAGTCATCGCAGTTTATTTCATCTGTCTACCCCTTTGTGAAATGAAATGAGCGGGAATGTCAGAAACAGCAACACAAACCGAAACAGAACTGAAACTTAAATGTTTTCGCTCATCATTTATCATAATTAATCAAGCAGACATAATTCGCATATTGAAGATACAAATTACTTGGAGTAACAATTGTATTACTACAGTCCACTATCTACCAAAATAGATGAATGATTTGACTTAATTTGATTTCCTGTATGAGCAGCTGTTTTAGTTGCTAACTAGCGTGAAGTGCTCATTAAAAGCACATTAGCATTCCTTCCAATATGAAACTTTATATATAGAGCTAATGGAATATAGAAAATGTTTGACATTTCAATACATTTCTGAGTGGTATAAATATAAATATAGGTGATAAAAACTTTATATACTTGTTGCAGGGGTTGAAGCATTGATATACCTTGTATAGTTTCTGACAATTAATATATGGTATGATATGCTTTTATATACACATTTTTAAAACAATGCCTGAAGCTTAAGCTCTGAAAGCATATACCCTGTATATCATCATCTTAAAGATGTTTACCTGATAATTCTGTTGTAAGCTCTACTCATCTGAAATCAGTATAAGTTCTTTATATATCCTACTTAGTCTGCAACAAGCTTCACTCATTTAAATTCGAAACTCCATTTACAAATCAGTTGAAACTCTCAGAGAATCCAAATACCTCATTATGTGTTCCACTACCTACTCAATACACTCCGCTTTCCCATTTTCCCAGAGTATCATTTGTAGCATTGAGTCTGGCTTAAGTGTGCCAATAAATCTTGAGCCTAACATGTGCTGAGACTCTCCGTCAGACGTGACTCACATATAGACAAAGCTCAACTGAACACGCTCGAAAGTATGCAACACATTTTTGCGCCAAAAGTTTATATTGAAATGGAGTCGCGCTGCCACCGTTCGCTGCTCCCAGCAACTGGTGATAAATTAACGCATTTAAAGCAGCACAGCGATGCTGCGGCCATGTTTCAGCTTTTAATAACACAAATTGCAATCGAATATGCGACGCGGCGAGCGCCGGGCTGAAACGTAGTTGGAATGCGAAATGAGCCGCCAATAGGAATGCTAACTCAATTTGTTGCCTTAAATGGCAGCAATAGTTGCACAAAGCATAATTAACTTATGTAAAGAATCGCAAAAAATTAAAGAGTCAAATTGAAAAACGGCACTGTTCAATAGCATTGTCAATTGATGTACGGATATCGAGTGCAGACAAGTAAACAACAGCACAGCAGCAAATAGTTGCAGCAAATAGACGGAGCTAACAAATTTACACAGCGTCAGCTCAACTGCCAGATACAGAGACAGAGACATAGACAGAGACAGAGACAGATAGAGATACAGCTACAAATGGCTGGCTTAATCAAACAGCATTTATATCAGCCTGCAGGTAGCTGCTGCTGCTGCTGCTGCTGCTGTTGCTGCCAAATATGGTGCAACAGAATACAGGGCAAAGCTTCTGTACTGAACTGGTCAGCAAAATAGCAAATAATAAAATAGCTCGGCAAATGTAAATAAACGTTTCGATGCCACCATTTTCCGCACACAAACAGACATATACATATGTATATGTTATATATATGTATGGCTGCTATGACACGTATCTATGACAATATCTGTGGCCCATTGTAGCTGCTGTGTCACATTTCGGAAATTGGAAATTTCGCACTTGCTGATGGCCCAGCAAATGAAGAGCTTGGCAGCCAGGTGAATGGCGAGCAAACCTTATCAAACACTACCTTTTGCTGGCATTGTAGTTTGCCATAGCCCTCATTCTGTATACATCCTACCCGCCTCCAGTTCCAGCTCCAGCTGCTGCCGCTGCTTTGTTGCCTGCAGCTAAGCGCCGCTTTTAGCCAGACCGCACCCGCAGCCCAATTGATTGTCACTTGAGAGCAACAGCAATTGATTGACATCATTTCTTTTGATTTCCCAAGTGTGAACCAATGCACTGAGCTGCCACAAAATAAAAATAAAAAAGCAACAGCAACAAGAACAACAACTGCAAACAAAGAAGAAGAAAGTTACGAAACAAAACAATGCAACACAATGCCGCAGCAGTCAAACTGCGTCATTTGTATGCCACATGTGGCTCAACTTGGCAGCAGAGCCCCAGCGACTGCAGTTTGCATAATAATGTAAAAATATCACATAACTTCATTATGGAATCTACATGGCTGTAAATTGTTTATAAATAAATTTCTGTAGAGCAACAAAATCTATTTTTGAGGACTCGCATATGAGAAGAGCAAAACGCTACAAGTAGAGAGAGAGGGCAGCAGAGTAGAGCAGAGAAACAATGCAAGGCAGAGTTCAGCAGATTGTATAATAGAATAGAAGGCAGGAATTAGTGAAAAATAGAAGAGAATAAAATCAAAATTTGAGGTTCAGTTAGAAATACAAAACTTAAATGTTAAAGTCAAGTTTTCTTTCATTTCCAAAAAGTAAAGCCCCAGCAAATTTTTTTAATATTTGTACTATTATTTA